GTGATGGTGGTGAAACCGACTTGGGATGGATGGTTGAAGGTGTTTTTTTAATGCTAAAGCTGCTCAAGGTGCTGCTGTAACTAAACCTGCTGGGGACGGAGCTCAGGACAGCGTTAGAAGCACCGACTGTCGAGCGCCTCAAACGCAGTCATGCATCCGTCAGCAGGCAGGTTCACACCTCGAGTCATACGAGTACGTAAAGAAGTTCAGGTTGCCCTAAAATGGTCCACAACGTCCTGCAGTTGATATACTTTTTTCAATTACTAGCTTTAACTTGAGCTACAACATCTTGCCAGTGAAAACAGCTGGACATCACTGGCTTGTGAATACATGGCGAAGCTAACGTAGCTCAGTGCTACTGCTAATAAACACATAAATGTTGTATACTGTCAGTGTGCTACATTTGTGCTTTATATTCTAGCTGGCGCTAAATTGGCAGTTAATCGTTTGTGTTAGTGAGTCTGCGAGCTAACTAAAGCTACAAGAGGTAAGGCTAATACGTGTTAGCATTGGTATCCATGTTAGCGATATGCTGCAGTTAGAAGCAGTTGTTTGAATATTTCCATTTTTTGCTCTGCTTTGACTTTCCTGTTGGTTTAGTTGAATCTTTTTTAAACACTCTGACACGTTGCGCGTGGATGTTGAGGATTTGTTCAAACTTCAGGTCTCGTCAGCGGCTGCACTTCTGAACAAACACTAACGAAGCTCCCGTCGCCTCCTAACGCACTGTTACGCATGTTAAAGGCTGTGGGAGGGGCTAAAGTCAATTATCTCACACAGACATAAAGTGTTGACCATAAAAGTTGCCCAAATAAGTTGCCGTTGCATTCAGAAGCAAAGAAACTCACCGTTCTCTCTGACATTCACCCTCACTCACACATACAGTACGACATTGTACAGGTAACAAGGTTTGACTGCTAACTTTAGGTACAGGCACTATAGAGTGAAGCATTGTGGGAGGTTGACTTCTCAGCTGCTCTGCTTTCAGCTCAACAGCTGCTTGGTTCATTGCACAGCTGCTCTCCTGGAAACTTTCCTCAAACCAAGCCGCTGTTCAGCCTTAAATCACAGAGTATTGGTGCTACACCTGGTGTTGGTGGCTCCAGTTCTGAACGCTCTGCAAGTTTCAGTGAAAGGAGGTCAGAGTTTCCTCTGAGGGTTCTCGATCAGTAAATGTCTACGACGTTAGTTCATCGGCTGCATTATTATTTTCTCCTAAATATAAGTACAAGCTACTTACTGGAGCAACTTTCTCACATTTGATCAGCACCACTTTTAGAAATGTCATTAACGGCTGCGTTTCTGGAAATTTTCAGAAGCTTTCGGGGAAATTAGCTTCAAATACGGGCCTGTTTCTATGAGAGTCCAAAGTTTAACCGCTGAGCTGAAGAAGACGTTTGTACCGTGGAGATTTAACACAACAACAAGTTTAGAATGAGAGGAAACCTTCATGTGAACGCACAGAAAGCTGAGTTTCACCGTGACATTCAACCACCACTGATGCTTTTTCAAACGGTCTGAGGTTTACTGCCGACACTGGAGGCTCTTCACGGGGTTTACAGTGAATCTGCTGAGCTTCAACGTGACACCGCTCTGGTTTTAGGGCTGATGCTCCAGTTCGAGTCCTGAACTGAGGCCACATTTGAAACAGATGTTGACAGCCATTTATCATTATTTAGGATAAATTCAAGAATGTTCAAAACAAACGACGACATAAAATTGGCGGGAACCTTTTCATCTGTTTTTAACACCAAGTTCAGGATATTTTTCCCACTGATCGGCCAGAACACGAGAAGAACTGAATCTGTGCAGCTGCTCTGGTGTTGAGGCTCATCGGTGAGTCTGACGGAGCCACGCTGACTTACAACGATTCAGAGGATCGGTGTTTGGATTAGAATTTATCAGGACGCCTCCTCCTCCAGCAAGCAGCAGATTCCTGGTGTGAAACATCAGTGGTTAAACCTCACGATTTACAAGATTCTTCTCCTTTCTGAACTAGAAAACGATCATAAGAATTGAGTGAATGTTTCATCGTATGAATGTGAGCTCTACTCATCGACAACTAGCTAGCTCATTAGCATCTGTGGCACTAATAATCCTACGACTGCTCGGTGGGCAGCCAGCGTCTGAAGGCGACCAGTATAGATATAGGCACAGGTAGAGGAACTGAAGGTGTGTGGCGCCCGATGATGACATCACCTCCTCCTGGAATGAACGGGCGCTCAGTTCAGTCGCTCAGGTACGTCTGGATGTAGATCTGCTGGTGGATCCACGGCGTGAAATGCGTCACGTTGCTGTAAACTCCGGGTCCGAGCACTTTGCTGAAGCAGACGCTGCCCCACGACGTCAGGCCGAACAGCGTCCAGCGGCCGCCATCGTCCTCGCAGACCAGCGGGCCGCCGCTGTCGCCCTGAACACACAGAAGAGACGCTGAAGGAAGGTTCACAAAAACCATAATCCACTTCACTGCCCGCCAGCTCTGGACAGGACGCTACAGCAACACTTCTGTCCTGAGACCCCTGACCTGGAGGTTTCACAACCGCTCACACCTCGAGGCACCACAAGATCTGAGCACTGAGGGCAGGTGCACATCAGCAACACAAGAACCAGCTGGTTCGAACTGCACAAAGTCCCCACTGTGCTCATCAGCCACCGTCCTCGGGTTAGTCATCGGTGACGCACAATTCAGTCGGGAAAATTAACCAGTCCAAACTTAGCCCAAAACTAGACTGAAACAGTCCAAAACTAGATCTAAACTAGTTCTA